AAAGGGTCTTGTAGATTCAATTCAAAGGCCCAAGCCCTGGTATCATGAAACTAATTCCTTTGTCTATTATGCCATTGTGACATGCCATGTGGTATGAAATGTGAATACTTATGAACACAAGCAATTACGGTGTAGCAGTATATACATACCCACAGAAATTGAACATCCACCATACCCTTTGAACTCTAGGTGCATGACCATCACATATAATATATAGTCACTACCAAATCTGACTGTAATTTGTATAAAACATATAATGTAGGTGCATATTATTATTAATTCATCTACCACACCAAATATATTACTTTCTTTGAGTTTAACTACTGACATACCTGTTACATTTTACCTACTTTTAGTATTTAACTGTTACTTGAGACATTAAGTAATCCTATAACTAAGGTTCAATGTACTTCTGTTAATAAATAGTATTGTTCTGTGACTGTGTAAGAGGTCTATGCCTGTGAAAGTTTTGTAATTACCTAAACTCAGAAAAGCAATATTTTAGTTTTATTAAAGGTAGTCGTTTGTTTATAAAAAACACATTTATTTTTAAAAGACCCGTCATTTGTATGATAATAATTTACGAATATCTAATTATAAGTTAACAGACCTACCAGATTAACAATATTAATATTATAGTACTCTACACATAATTATTAAAACGGATAGCAATCTCTAGTGTAGTTAGTAATAGTAAGTAAACTGTATCAGTGCAAACAGTAAAACTAAAAATAAAGTCGAAAAAGCACAACTTCTTACCACTGCACCAAATTAAATCATATGACATGCGACGTCCAACTTAACCCCTTCAAACTTTCTAAAGACAGAGGAACGTCTAACTTCAAGTTCAAAATTGGAGCTCTTCACTAATACCTAATGAGTAAGTTTTAATATATTAGAGTATGACTAGGCCCTAAAAACTGTAGCTCCTAATTTTTGACATAGTATTAATACTAATAGTATTATTATAACATCCCGAATATTCTGCAGAGCCCTCTATGTAAAGACAACATTTACTATTAGGATTTACATTATGTCTTTAACATTTCGAACCCGGTAATTCTATTACATAAAGTAAGTAATCTTGATACATTTAATTTGTAAAAAATTAATAAATGATATATAAAAAATAAAGGTAATGGGGTGCACAAATAATTTTCTTTTATAAACATCTGAAAGAACAGACTATAATTGTATATTTCGAAGAATGAAACAATGAGAACTCTAAATAATAAGAGAATATTGTTCTCAGTTCTAAAATAGCCCCTCTGGTGTATTAATGGTAAGCTTGAGGACTTATAACACTAAAATTCGGGCTCGATACCCGCGGTAGTCATAGCACGGATAGCCTACTGTATAACTTTGCTCTTAAACAGAAACAAAAAGCAAACTGTTCTAAAATAACGTTATTATTGTTATTCGGTTTGAAGGCTTGCAGCTAATCTATTTAGAATACGAAATTTTCGTTTAAAGAAACTCGAATAACTATAACAAATTAACAAGAGTGTGTCTCGTATACAAAAAACTTTACATTACAAGTTAAAAATGAATGGCTCATAAAGTTCCGTAACTTTTGAGTTACTGTAGTTTAAAATATT